GGGGCGGCCCTCGCTGCCGGGGCAGAGAGGGGGAAACCCGCGATCCCTCGCTCTCCTCCCTCTCCTCTCTGCATCTCCTCATTTCCGCGGGGCACGCAGACCCCAGGCCATCCCCTGAGCATCACGGTTCCTCTGAGGCAACCTCCGAGCAGCCAGGGCTGGGGGTGCCCCGGGGGCTGGGGGTGCTCCCGGGTCTCTGGCTGAGCAGAGGGTCCCAGGGACGGTTTGGGGCAGCTCCCGTCCAGGGGATGCTCCATCATATTCAGCAGGGCACGAGGGTCTGAGGACAGTGAGAGGTGAGCAGTTACCTCCCAACGAGCTAATTATGTGCAGAAACAGCACAAGGCTGATTAAAAAAAAAGTTATCAGAAACTAAAGAGTGTGTGGATTTATGGCATACCAGCTGCGCTGTGAAAACTGCCTGTCACCCAGAGGTATGAAGGAGATGGTTTGTGCCTCCAAGAAAGATCTTGGCAGTTTAAAGGAGGTTTGAGAGACAACAAATAAAAGAAAATGGGGAAATAAATACAGAGGGGAAGGGAAAAGGAGCATGAAAGATGACAGAAAAACCTGAGTCTGAGGTTCCAAGTGGTTTTCAGGGAGGATCTGGACTGGACAGGGGCAGGACAGTCTCAAAGGCAGCAGTATTACAGCCGTCTCAGCTACTCCCTTTCACCCTAGGAGCAATCGGTGGCTTTAAAAGCCTTAAATTAGCAAAAGCTTCATTGCTTCAGCAGGTACCTGAGTAGCAGGAAAGAGCCCGCGCATAAATAAACTGTGCAGTTCCTGCAGAGTTCACAGACATCGATGGGTGAATTACCCCAGCCATGCGGCACGACTGCTCAGACCCCCGACCGCGGGCCAGGGGAGCTCGCTGGGCTCCCCGAGCGCTCCTGGGACAAAGTCCCAGTAAATCCTGGAGCAGGTGATGGCATGAGGGGTCCTCAAGATAACCAAGAGACCCCACAGCTTTGGGTCCAGGCCCTGAAAAGAGGTTGACATCTCTGGGTTTGCCGGCAGACAGCTCTCTGCCCACCCTGAGGGGGGTGTTGGGTGGGCACAGCCGGGGCTAGGCAACCGGGCAGGGGCTGCAGCCCTCCCACCCACCGCAGCCGGGGTCCCCAGCACAGCGGGGTCTGTCCTGAGCCCCTGGGGTTCACTGGAGCCGGCCACCCCCACAGGCTCGAGCACCCGCTGCGGCTGCAGAGAGGGCTGGACTTTATTAAACCTAAGCACGAGAATGCAAAATACACCCACGTCCTCCCGAGCATCCACAAAAGACTCCAAAACACAACGTTGGGAGGCAAAAACCACCTGTGTTCCTTCTGTTCCAAGCAATGTAGGCGGGATGCAACATTTGCAAGGAAAAGACCAAGCTGCTGTTTTGCTGTGTTAGGTACAAAGAGAAATGTGGTGGAGCATCCTTTGGGCAGGCTGGGCTCCCATCCCTCTGGAGGCAGATGGGGAAGACCGGGGGGTCCCTTCCCCGACTCACGCCGACAGCACGATGAGATCCTGGTGAAGCAAAGGGGTTACCTTCCCTCTCTGAACATCCTCCGCACAAGCGACGGGCGCTGCCTTTGCTCCGGAGCGGAGCTGAGGTGCCGGCGGGGGGACCTCGGGGCACAGCTCGGGCACTTACTTCGATGACGTCGACGTCCGCGTTGGTGAAGTCAATGTTCAGCAGCTTGGGGAGGGGAACCCCATTTCCCAGCACGCCTGCGGATCACAAGCCAACCCAGCTCAGTGCTGCGGGAGGGCAGGTCGCTGCCGAGCTTCTGCCCAGGGCTTGGTCCCCAACTCCATCCTCCCTGTGTGCAAACCCCTCCCTCCATGAGTCCAGGGCTCTCCGGAAAGACTTTGTGTCGTGGGACTTAGTGCTTCGGCAAAACACATTGTCATTTGCTCCTGTCTGCGTGAGCAAAAGCGGCAGGCGGCGAGCACCCCGCGGAGGGGGCTGCGGGGCCCCTGTTTCGTGATGTGCAAAACACTGCCGCCTGAAACGAGCCCCCCGAGTGCAGGTCGGTCCCACTGGCTCCTATTCTATACGGCGAGGTAAGTTACACCTGCATAAACTCATCGTATACTGTACAGTCTAGCACACATGAACACATGGACGAGGGATAAGAGCTTCCTTACTGTTCATTGCAGGCAGGAAGGCAACATCGAAAATCTGGCCAACGAGCATCTTCAGGAGCGAGACCTGCAACAGGGAGAGGGGACGCTTAGTGCCACCGCTGCGCCCGGCCCCGTGGTCAGCCCGGCCTCACCCTGCCCTCGGGCACGTGGGGATGCTCCGCTCACACCACCTAAACCCATCCTGAACCCTTGCTGCTCCAGCTCCGCACCCGTCTAAGGCAAAATCCCAATTTCACAGAAATTGGACTTTAAGCCTTCTATGGTCAATTTTTAGTCCCAAAATAATGCCAATCCACAGGCCCCTTCCCACTGGCGTTAAAGCTGCCTGCAGTAACCACCTCTGCAAACCAAAGGTGCTCTATCTGCAGGGATCCTGCGACAGGAGAGCTCAGGATTCCTCCCGACTTTTGCCGTTGTCCCCCATGAGGCACGGGGACGAGCCTCCCCAAGCGCAGCCTGAGGGGATGGCATGGGCTTGTGCAGGATGTCCTGCGGTTCACCGAGGACCCAAAACCTCTCCCTCTCAGTGAGGATTTTTTGTGAAAATTGCTCATGGATCATCCATGAAAAAATCTGTCTCCAGAGGTGAAAGGAAGGTGCTATTAAAAATACGACACAACCGTTACACCGTAATTGGCCCTTATTTCTCTTAAGCCAATATCTATCAGCACTTTGCTTTCTGCGATGGATTTCGCCTGTTGCTGAGGCTGCTCGTGTTCTTACATCAAAATCACCGATGGACGAAGACCCCAAGGAGAGATCAGTCCTGCAGGAGGAAGCAGAGGTGAGTAAAATCCAAGCAGTTCCTCTGATGACCCAGTCCTGTCGATGCCCTCATTGTTGCGCAGCCCAGGAGGTCCCACGTCCATGGCCACCCCTGGCCACCCCCCAGATGAAGACCAGAGTCCTACTTCTCCAGGCTGACGCTGATCTTCAGTTTGTTGTCCTCGACTGAAAACTGGGCCAGCAAGGAGGCGTCCTGCGGTCAAACAGAGAGGTCAGGGCAGGGGTGGCTCCTCCAGCCCTTGCCCAAGCCCAAGCCTGCAGCCCAGCCATGTCACATCGGGTGCAGGTCCCATCTACCAGCACCCTCGCACCCGCTCTGCAGGGAGGGGGAACCGCAGGAGGGATTTCTGCGTGGGTGGTTCCTTCATACATACGATATTCAGAAGGCAGAGAGACTCCTCGACATCGTCTGGGAGGATCGCCATCACCTCTGCGGTAGCCATGAGCTGGATCGCACCTTTATTTTTCTTTAAGGTCACCACAGGCGCTTCAGGGACGGCAATTTTCAGCAGCAAGTCACGTGACTCGGGGTACGCCTTGAAAACCTGCCAACATCCAAAGGTGGAAAGTTTCTGCTGGCAGGAGCACCAAGAGTGCTGACACTGGACCAGGCAGAACAAAGGAGTAACCAGGAGCCCGAGAGCGGGCTGCCTGCTCCGGCAGCGTTTGCCCAGTGCTGCTCCCAGGCGGCAGATCTGATCTGAATTGCTCCAGCCCAACAAGTCTGTTTCTCAGCTGGCTGAAGTGAAGTCAAGCTCGCTGTGCGCTCAGCCCCACGGACACCCTGCGTCTCGCTGAGAGCATCCCATCCCGGCCGGAGGACCACGGGCGGCCCCGCACCCAGGCAGACGGGGCAGCTGCAAGGCTCGCTGTGACCCGAGCGCTGCAGAGGACGGGGTGACAAACCGGGCTCTGGCCTGCCGTGTTTCCAGTTTTAGACCTAAGTCAGAGCTCGTTCGAGTCCACGGGACATCTGAGATGATGCCTCTGAGGAGGAAGAGACAGGGAGACCTCCCCTGCCCCAGACACCGCTTCTCTGACCGGGTTACCTGCAGTGCAAGAGGGAACCAGGACTCACCGCAGGAACCAGGGCCCCAAGGGTCGATGTCGTTAGTGGCGGGAGCTCAGAAAACTGCGACAGAGAAGAGAGAAATGCTGCACGTGTGTGTGGTGGCTTTCAGCAGAATCTGCTTTCACCAGCAACATGGCTGAGGCTTTTACCACATGGCCTCTCACATGCATTTTTCACCTAAGCTAGCAGAGACCCTGATAAATGGTACAGAGGTGCTAAGGCATTGCACGGTGGGACCAGTTAGCACGGCTGACAACCCCGAGTCCTTCCAAACCCAGAGCTACGCAGCGCTCCCCGCTCACCATGCCGGTGGAGATGTCCAGGTCCAGGGTACCCTCCTTCTGCAGGACAGACAGCACCGAGCTGAGGAAGTTCACAGAGAGGCCCAGCTGGGAGGAGCTGGTGTCCTCCATCGGTGGCATGGGTGGCATGGGGACCCGTGGTGGCATGGGGACAGTTTCTGGCTTTCCCAGCGGATAGTCCACTAGGCCTCCTGCCGCTCGCCCGACGACAGTCTGGAGTTACAGGGGAAGGAAGCACAGGCCAAAATGTTTGCAATATTTGCCTTTACGGTTAACTTCATGTTCCTTCAGTATGAAATCGCTGCACGCACCGCCACGCCAAGTCAGGCCCTGTGACACTTCCTTCTCCAGAAGTTCATGAAATGCAAACCCCGCTGCGCTCTCCCGTGACGGCAGCAGCAGCAGCAAGAGCGGGGCACGAAGCTGGGACCTCCCCAAGCTTTTCACAGCGACCCCAGAGCCCGCTGCTCAGGTGTAGGTGGCCCCAGGGACAGCCCAAGGAGACCGTCCCAAACCCAAGTGAAATAGCACAACCCTTGTATGTAGATGGAAGGAGAAGATGCAGGACTTACGTTCAAGTCTACCTCGAGGAACTGGCCGGTTACCAGGGGAAGGCTGGACACGGTGTACTGGACGCTGCTCAGCAAACCCAGAGGCACCAGTGCTGGGGGGGAGGAAGGGACTCAGCGATTCCCCGCTGGGCTCAGGTGCAAACACCCCCTCCCCTGCCCGGCAGCTCTTTTTTTTCCAGGAGAGCCCTGGCTGCAGGTGGACTCAGACACTTGGCCCCGGCTCCAAGTGCTCTGTGCTGAGCGGCAATGCCGCAGGAGACGTCATTTCCCTAACGAGCAGTGCGCGCCACTGCTGCAAAAGGAGGGGACAGCTCACAGCTCACCCCATCGATGCCACCCTTATGCACCCGGGGGTCCTTCTGTCCGTGATCAGAGACGGAGAAAGGGGAGACGTGGGGAGGGGACAGCATCCCCCCGGGCACGCTGGGGCACCGCTGCCTGGCTGCTGCCCGGGGGGGGACAGGGTCTGGGCAGGGAGCTGCAGGGGTCCCCGCTCCCTGCGCAGGGCAGGCCTGGGGTCTGTGGGGTGAAGCGGGGGGGTTTGCTCTTCCTGCCTGGGGTGCAGCAGGGGGGATAGTGTCACAGTCCTCACGCAGCCAGAGCGGAGGTGACACGAGGGGGGAAGGCAGGGAAAGGCGTGGGACCCAGCAAGTACTTACAGTTCACAAGACCCAGCTGGTCGTTGACGAGTCCCAGGGCGGTGTTGACCACCGGGCAGAGCTGCAAGAGTTGGGGAGGGACGGTGAGTAACCCGCGTCCAGAGCCGGACAAGGACACGCAGCCCAGCTCGGCTCTGCCACGCTTTCCCTGGGAACGGGAGCAGCGGGCAGTGGGTTGGCAGTCCCCGCTGGTGACTCCACAGTGCTGCTGAGGCTGCACCGGCTCCGGATCTGGCCCTGGATCTTGCCCTTCGTCAGGGAAGCGGGGTTAGGACTGGGTGCCAGGAGCCCACGTGGGATGGCTGGAGAGACCCTGAGATTCAATTAGCCCGTAACATGCTCCAGAGCATTGTTAGGAACTCCCAGGCACTTGGGCAGACGTGCGCCGGGCTTGCTGACCTTGCATTTGGAGGGAGCAGCTTGCCCAAGCAGATGGAGACATGGCACGTGTCCCCTGCTAATCCCTAACCACTGGGCGGGCGGGTGGATGCAGCAGCCCTGGGACGGTGGCCGTGCTCCTGCCCTGGGACAGGAGCAATGCCGCGGGGAGCTGCACTGCAGCTTTTCAGATTCCTTTCCGGAGTGGGGTTTTTTTCCAACTTACCAGATTAGGAAGAACTCTGTTCAGGACACTTGCCAATAAATTATCCACAATTGGGAGCAGGCTGTGGAAAAATAAAGGAGCACCATGAAAAAAACCTGCTGCAAAGTAAGTGGGTCTTGTTAAACAATTCCCTGTGAACAGTGCGGATCGCAGACCTCCTGTAGCAAGGCAATTGCAGCAGCAAAGTGCATCGTCTATGCTTGGATTTTGCATGAGATAAGTGTAATTTGCATCCCAAAATAGGCAGTGGTAAATTTATTGCTGCCTTTTATCTACTAGCATATAGTCTCCTTAAACAAGCAGAAGCAACCTCAGCCCAAGGTTTTACATACCACATGCTTACGTCTGAGAAGACCCTGTCCAACCTCAGTTAAAATGACCCGTGAATGCGGCACATGGGACAGAAATGTCCCTCCGGGACCACTGTGAGGTCGTGCAACCCTCTGGGACAACATGTCCATTTGCTGCGGCTGCGTGGGGGGCAAGCAGGGACCACCACCACCAGCAGCCCTGTGCTCAGCCCCGTGACATGGCCAGTGAGCGACTGTCACCTGCAGGGACAGCGGCTGCCCGTGTCACAGTTGCCCGTGGGACTCAGACGCGCAATGGGAAATGTCCTCGTGCATTCGCCGTTCTGCGGGCACGGGCTGGGGGCTGGCAAAGCCCGGTGGCGAGGTGGCTCATGTGGGCAGAGGAGGACACCTCCGTCACTCACCCTCTCAGGAGTCTGACTTTAATGCCACCAAGGAGGGTATCGCATTTTTCTATCACCAGTTTGGGGTAGCCCGTGCCGTCCATGGTTAGCCTGACCCTTGATGTGATGTTCACTTCCACTGCGATGTCGAGCAAACCCAGGAGGCTGTACAAGGGGAAGGGAGCGACCTTCAGCGGAGCAGCCTCTGCCCGGCGAACAGGAGCAGTGTCCCCTCCGGAGCCACCCCTCGTGGCGGTGCTTCCACCGGGTCCGGGGGCACGGGTGGCACTGCTACCAGCACCAGCCTGACCTACCTCTTGGCATTGAGGGCCACCCGGGTGTAGAGGTTGAGGTGGACGCCGATGCCAGGCAGGAGCCGCAGGGACACCCTGGGGAGCGTCAGCTCCACGATCCGCAGCCTGCAGGGACAGCGAGGGGGACATCACGAGTGATGGCTCCGAGCCCAGCACCCCGCCACCCTGGGGAGCGTCAGCTCCACGATCCGCAGCCTGCAGGGACAGCGAGGGGGACATCACGAGTGATGGCTCTGAGCCCAGCACCCCGCCACCCGGGCTCTGCCGCTCGCGCAAATCCACCGATCAAGGGGTGGGCGAGTCAGAGGCCATTTAGACCAGAAATGCCAAAAGACACCAAGTTTTCTTAGTTATTTTCCTGTTTTAGTTATTTTCCAGTTTTAGCAGAAGCTTTGTTCTAGTTGCCTTATTATGGCTT